TAATGCCTTTATCAACCCCTTGTACTTATTAATTAGCTCCCCTGATCTACCTTTTCCTACGGTATTAGCTCCTACATGTACCACAAAAACTGCATCTCTGCTAGCTCCCTTTATTATATATCCTGCTCTATCAGTTATATCTTCTATCTGTGCCCCTGGGTAACATAATCTGATTCTTTTCTACCTATTTACCTCATAGACTATCCTATCCACATGCCTTGTCAAGGAATCAACTATAACCTCCTTATCATCCATTCACATCCTTCTCTGACCATCCCCCCAGTAGCACAGCAGCATGTCTGCGGACTTCCAATGCTAGAAACCAGATTTTGATACCCGTGGTGGGCAGAGCACAGATAGCCTATTGTGTAGCTTTATGCTTAACTTCAAACAAACAAAACAGACCTTCTCTGACCTTTTTGTTTTCCTTCTCTCTCCAATAGTTCCTTGTCTGCAAAAGCCAAGGGCTGAAATATGTTGTTCAACAAAATAGGCTCATTATAACTAAATTCACTACTTTTTTACTCTAATAGTACTCTTTCTAACTTCCTGAAAGTCATTGTTAGCTGATGTATCCCTTGCATGTAAAAGCTTAAGCTCCTCCTGAAGTCCTGTTGCCATTTCCCACAATCTACACTTCTCTTTATCTATTGCCTCTACTTTAATCGTGATTGGCTCTAACTTCTCCTCCAACCTACAAACTCTACATAAAAATTGCATATAATCATTACTAGCTTCCTTAAAAGTGCATTCCAATTCTGAGTTCCCATATCAAACCCACTCATTGCACCTAACTAACTGTAAGTGCTTAAAAAGTAATCTTAACCATTGTATTTATACTTATAGCCTGAAAATAAATACTCAATACCATATACCAGTAACCTATTGTTAACACTGTTACTGTTAAGCCTAACGTTTAAGAACCATTTATATTATTTTTTATCACTATATTGTCTTCACACTAAAGTAATAAAGTTTATCTTTAATTATATAGAACTTAATAATTTTTAGAACAATATATGTAACGTTAATAATAATATGTATTTAGCCTGATTTATATTGTAACTTACCTATATCTGTAAGCTGAATTTCAACTATTGGATCTAATATAATTAAATGATAAAAATGAATAAAGAAATTCTTGGCATTTTTTAAAAATATTTATTTATTAGCAAAATGCTGGTAGGTATATTCATGATGTTATTATATATAATTATGCTGGTCATATGTAGGATTAATATATAAGATTCATGTACCTTTATGAAACCATGGAAATTTATAAATTTTAATGTAAGTAATAATTTTTTAATTGTGTTCAATTTATGTATTCAGTATTGTTTCACCAACGTTTTAAAAATTTGCTGGTTAGTTAAACAAAATTGTTGTTTTTGGCATTATAATGATAGATGGTAATTTTATTTTTTTGTTTTATTCACATTGATAGAAATATTTTAGTATCTGTCATGATCAGTTTTGAAGAAATGGAACTGCTATTTAGTTTTGCAGTGATGAAGTTTAGTTTTCAGAAACATAACTATAAAAGCTGTATAAAACATTTTTAGAGAAGAGATGTATTTTTGTTTCAGACATTGTAAGTGGAATACACAATAATGTATTATGTGATACTTTGAACTTTATTTACTGATTAACATATTATTTTATTTTATATTGTTGTTAGTTTGATTGTGGACAGATGATATTTTTATGTTTATTTTACAGAAAATCCTTTCAACAATGATGCCAACAGAAGATGAGAAAAATAAAATAGTAGAAGCACAAATGAATAACCCAGATGTTCCACTTGGAAGTGCTGAGCAGTTTCTTCTTACTCTTTCTTCTATTAGTGAATTAGAAGCAAGACTTAGGTTATGGGCTTTTAGGCTTGATTATGATACTGCAGAAAGGGTAAATAACATTTTATTTACCTATCCTGAGAAAAGTTCTTTAAACAGAAACGTTTATAAAAGCTTGAATATTACTTATTATACTATAGAGCAAATTTAAATGGTTTTGTCAGTAACCTTTTTGTTAACAACTAGAAGGAGATTCAGTTGTTCATTAACAAGAATCCAGTGAGTAATGTTGTTTGATCTCTGTCATAAATATAAATGTTTCTATGACAATATTACTCACAAAAATGATCAAACAAAAGGCATGTATTTTTTGTACTCTACGACACATTTATGCAACTTGTTCAATGTATTATCCGACAAATACTATGAATTCCAATGGGAAGTAACATTAACCAAAAAGCTGCAAAATTATATTTATTCAAACTTGAATTTTCATACATAACAAATCTTAGTAAGAAAGACCATAATAAAGCTTTGCATATCAGTGATGCTGGTAGGTATATTCATGATATTATTATATATAATTATGCTGGTTGGTATATTCATGATATTATTATATATAATTATGCTGGTAGGTATATTCATGATATTATTATATATAATTATGATGGTAGGTATATTCATGATATTATTATATATAATTATGCTTGTTGGTATATTCATGATATTATATATAATTATGCTGGTAGGTATATTCATGATATTATATATAATTATGCTGGTAGGTATATTCATGATATTATTATATATAATTATGCTGGTAGGTATGTTCATGATATTATTATGTACAATTATGCTGGTAGGTATGTTCATGATATTATTATTATATATAATTATGCTGGTAGGTATGCTCATGATATTATTATATATATAATTATGCTGGTAGGTATGTTCATGATATTATTATATATAATTATGAAGGTTTTTTGATTCAGCCAAACAAATTTATTCACAGATCTCACTTTAGACAAAAAGCTCTTTCACTAAAAACAAAGCACTACCTGGATTCAGATTTCATCATCATTTATCAAACATTCCTGTTCAAAGTTTTCTATTATTCAGTCCTATAAAACTTCTTAGTCAGAGGTCATAAACATGGTTATGTTTTTCACAAGCCAGTTTTTTCTTATCACATGTTAAGTAGAAAAGTTATTAAATTTTATTGGAAATTATGGGTTTAAACGTAAGTCATGATTTTGAGTTCACTCATGAACTACCTGGTACATAAACTCAATATGCTGGACTTAACTATTATATAACTTCCTACTCAAAAGAGTAAACATGCTAACCATTGGATTCATATAGTGGTCCACAGTACCCCAGTTTCTAGTCTTCCAATTCTTTACATTAAGTTCAATAAACTGAGAAGGTCATCACTTAGAAAAAAATTAAACAATATTCCTGATCTACTTTCAATACTGAGGACTGTAGATAACTAAACTAATGTGCTACATCTTTATTTACTTGAAGTTCAAGCCTAAATCCAGTTTCAAAGAAAGATGAAATGTAAATAAATTATCATAAAATAGTTTATTAGATAATAATGCTTAGACCAACAGTCATACGTTTGTTTACCTTGTGAATTTCATACTTTAAAATAACTTCCATAACAGTCTATGTACACTTCACTCAATTTTTCAATACAAGATAATTTAAATTTCAAGATAAATTTGTTCTCAGATGAAGTTAAGAGAGAAAAATAACAAGAAGAAATATTTCATATTATACACACAGTCTTCTGTGTTAAAGCATTTATTGCAAAGAAAAAAGTCAAACTTTACATTTTGAAACTCTTATTTTCAACAGGAAGTTGCAGAACCACTAATGGACTTGAAGCAGGCAGTAGTGGAGATAGAAACTAACCAAACATTTAGAATAATATTATCAACACTCCTTTCCATTGGAAACTTTCTTAATGGTGTTGAAGTAAGAATTAATTCTATTCATTAATATTTGATATTTGTTGTAAAAAATTTTGAAAATGGTTGTACTTGCTACTAATTTATCTTTTGCAGAATCTTTATTCCAAATTCTAGTGCTTTTTTATTTAAAAGTAGCTGTTTAAGTCAATTAAGATTAAAGATGAATTCTTTGTTGTAAGAGTAACACTGATTTGATAACCATGTGCAAGTTTTTTTGTTTTTTTTATTTAGTAACTACTTTCTATTTCTTGAAAATTGAAGAAAGATAATGATTTCAGGCCTGTATGCAGGATGTTTAAAAGGGGGTCTCTAATTTGGGAGATCAAAAACCAACATTATTGTGCAAAGCACAATCAACATGCAAAGCATGCTAATGCTATGGGGTCTGGGGGGCATATGACTATTTCAAGCCAAAACATGCTAATGCTTCATCAGAAGAATGTTGAGTATGTATAAAATGTTAAACACCATAAGCGGCTGTGTTATAACTATATAAGCATAATTTTTTTATATAACAAAACTGAACTCCCACTGTGTACATGCATGCATCTTGTCAGTTGTGTTCTAAAGTAATTGAACCAGTCTGTGTGGACTTTGATGATAAAGAGACAAATATTTAAAGATCTGGATACAACTGTGATAACAAACAATGTAAAGAACATTTGTATATATCTTTGACTTGTTTTAATATATTATTTTAAAAGACATGGACTGTGCTGCTGTTTGTTTATTGTTGAAATTTATTGCCAACAAATCACAGACACCTACTGTAAAGAATTTGGCATACAAAACTGAACAATAGCAGTACAGCTTTGGGCTTCCAAATACAAAGTGTCAACAGAAGTCATTGCATTTGACTATTTCAAGAAACAAATACTAATGCTTTATCAGAAGAATGTAGACCATGTAGAAATAATGGGTTTGGCCACCCCCCCTTGTGTACGTGCATGCATCTATTCAAAATCACTTATCTTATTTTTAATATGAATACTTACCACATGTTTTTTGAAAAAATGCAACTAAATTCCTTTAATTTATGGACTAAGAAGTAATAAATACTTTAAAAAACAAGAACTTTTGACAAATAAATAATTATGTATATTTAGATATTTATTTAGAGTTATTTTTAATAATAACTATATATTTTTTATCTTTCATAATGTAAATCAATTTCTCTAAAAGAATATATCCTCTTGAATAATCAAATGTTAAAATATATCTTTAGAGGTTAAATAAACACTCTATCTTTTTCAAGGTAAAAGGTTTCCAAGTTGATTATTTAGCTAAAATTCCAGAAGTCAAAGACACTGTGCATAAACAATCTCTACTACATCACCTGTGTCACATGGTTATGGAAAAGTATCCTAAGTCAACTGACCTCTATTCTGAAATGGGTTCAGTTTCTAGGACATCAAAGGTAACTTTCAAATTTTATTTTGTTTGAAAATTGTTACAGTTTTTCATTTTTCTTAAAATTCAGAAAAAAGATTTTTGTATAGTAAAACATATTTCGACCATGTTTTTTCTACATTTTGCTAATCAGCTATAGGGTTATGCTTTTAGTTTATTCCTTAAGCAGTATAAATAAACCTTGTGGTGAATTTCACTGTTATATCTATACAACTAACTACTAGAGCATTTCATATATGAAATTTATTTTATGTTTAACTATAATTTAAATTGCTGATTTATTACCCTGAATGTTGTTGATCATTTATGTAGTTTAATTTTTGGTCTGCAAGGTAGATATAAATATGTTTGTATGGTGGGAAAAAATAAAAGACAAAACGTTTTTTTTCCTATTATCAATTATGTATATATTTATGTATATATTTAAATATGCTTATCTTACTAAGTAAGTCATGTAAAATTTTGCATCCCTTGTAACACCTTTTTTTTACTTTTAAGTGACACAATGAGAGCTAACATATTTTGTTTTTTGAACATTGTCAGTTTTCATCTTTCTTTACAATGCATGATATGAAGTTAAAATGTATTGTAACAAGAAGAGAAAATGGCACCAAAACAGATATTGTTCTATAGGCAAGTAATATATGACAGAAACCTTCCAAATATTTATTTAGATAACATGAGAATGTAAAAACAAATGGTACTTTTATAATAATTGTATGCTACTTACAATGTTTATATATAATTATTGGTAAAGAAATATGAAGAACAGTTAACTTACATTAATCCATTCAAACAATCTAAGATAATGAAAAAAAAATCTTTACGAAGTATACTTTTAAGCAGCTCGTGCACTATATAATTCAATACGGTAACTTGAGCTGCACCTTCGCCGAATGATTTACAACTTGTGTGGTGGGATTATTAGTTAGACATGGTTCAAAAGGTAATAAGACAAAGTATAGACAGATGGATACTGTTACAAATTATAATATGGAAACTCTGATGGTTTCTTTGTGGTTGCAAACTCAGTCACACTGACTGAAACCATAGAGAGAGCGTTCATTCACTCCATCCTTCATCCATGTACAACTTTGTCTTATTCCTGCATCGTTTTTACACAACATATTAAGAAAAAATATAGTTTCTCTCTCCATTTCCTATAGCCATAAATATTTATTTCATCGTCTATTGAACCTTTTCTTTCTGAGAAGCTTACAGTTTACTAAAAGGTAGCAGGATGGTTTTAGGCCCATCTGAAAAGAACTGAGATGGCATCCCGCTTCATCTCATCCCACTTCAAGCACTGCTCTAAGAGTATTAGAGTGTGTGTTTTTTATATAGACTTACAGTTTTAGTATGTTCTTTTAAACATTAAACAGTTTGCCTTGTTTCTCAAGGTATTTAATCCCTTCCATAATTTGCCCAAAATAACTCCATGTTTCAAAAAGTATTTGTTTGAATTAATTTGGTAAACTATTTCTCACTGTATTTTTAATTGTTGGACTAAAATTATCATGCAATTACAATAAGTTATCAAAAAGCAAAATAATAAAACCTCTCTTTTTTCTTTTTTTTTTGAGTCCATTAAAAAAAAACCTGACAGAGAGGGGGGTTAAGCATAGGTGATAGGATTTTTTAGATACATGCAAAAAAGAAGAAAAACGTGCATCCATGGTAACTATACACCTTGATGCACTGATTAGATATTTCTAATTACAGGCTGAGCATGATCTAGTGTTTAGCATGCCAGACTGTGAAGCTGAGGTTCTGTGGTTTGTACCCTATTACTGCAATAAAACAAAAAACTGAGGTTTGCACTTTGGATGAATTATAAGAGTAATGGTCAAATCCCACTATTTAGTCTGACAGGAGTATCCTAAGAGTTGGTGGTTTTGACAAGTTTCCTTCTCTCTAGTTTATCACTTGAAAATTAGGAATGGCTAATGCAGATAGATCTTTTGTAGCATTGTGCAATTTCCAGACAGTAAATTTCTAAGTATACATCATAAAATACAAGGTTCATATTCGTTATCATTATGTTTCTGTACAGGTAAAGGACCTAGTATGATTGAAGGACAATTTTCAATGAACAATTTTTTGTTTAGTTCTTACTAAATTTTGGATTTTGTTTACTCATATAAATTGATGATATAATAATATCTGTATATGATTACACAATAGCTTTACAAATTGCATTTTATTGCTTGAAATCTTACAACTTAATTAGAATTTTGTAATGAGTATAATAAAGCTGGTTTTCCCATTAGATGTAACCAAACAACATTTAATGATAACCTATGTAGTGTAAAAATGTCTATGCTATTATTTGTCACAACTCTGATATGAGAGATACGTGTATTCTTAGAATCAAGTCATTTTTGGTTCATTATTGATATATTATCTAAACATAAAGTATTATACAGCTTAGGTCTTCTAGACAGACCATAACCTATATCTAGACCTTCTACTTGGCATTAGAACACTTGCATTGTTTTATTGCTACTTATGTTAGTCTAGGTCTAGTCTGAGATATAAGTAATAATAATTATATATTGACTTTCTGTATATGCCCAGCACAGATTCAAATCATGGACAGACAAAAGTATTGTCTAAACAAAGCAGCTAAATGATAGATGTGATAAAAGTTAACAGAAAATGTAAGCAAACAAAACCTTGCAATGACTTTGCACCACAAAATCATAATTTTATGATATGAAAATATGAAATCTTGAATTACCTTTAGAATATAGTTCCTCTTATAAGGGCTAAAAATGACAGTGTTGTCTTGTCTAGTAAGAGGCAATTGTTATAATATTTTCATATCGATTGAACACATTATTTTAAATTTTTATATGCCTCATATGACTTCTGAAGCATCTGGTACTGGTCGCACAATCATTTATAATTGTGTTTCATCAGATTAGTTACTGGTAAAAAAGTATTTTTTAAACACATATTTATGTATATTTTAGGTTGATTACAGTGATGTAGCAAGAAATCTTAAAAAATTAGAGTCTGAAGGCAAGGCATCTTGGGATCATTTAAAAGCTGTTGCCAAACATGATGGCTCTACACCAATGAGAGACAAGTGAGTTTTCTTCTTTTTTCCCATAAAGAAAAGTAGGTAATTGCACAGTTCTGTTGTAATGAAATCAGTTTAGCTATTGAAAATCTACAATAATACTGAACTAATAATTGATTAAACTTTCAGGAGAGACAACATTTAAACTGATTTTTCAATATCTAGTGTAAAAAACAACAACAAATGTAACAAAAAAAAGTTGTATTTATTCTATTTCTAAATATAATCTTGCAGTCAATTTGATATGAGCTGTATTTAAGGAGTTTAAAAGTTGTGACTATTTAAAATAATTTAACATAACAGTATTTTATGCCATGATTTTATATTCATCATTGTGTATGTGTCACAATTAACTTCACAAGACTAGATACCATCTTCATCTCCATTACTTATATTCACAATAAATGTACATTAATGTATAAAAAGTAGGAGATATAGAATTTTATACAGATCCTTTATAATTGTCCATATTTCCTGCTTACTGTGTGAAAAAACGAAACCAAACGCTTGTTAAAGGAAACCTACGCATAATATTACATATTTCTAAAATTTAATGACTAAAAATAAGTACTTTGTTTTTATTAAAGGAAATGAATAAACAATTAATTGGTAATATTTTCAAAATGACTAAAGCTCCTGTGGATAAGCAGAATTACTGTATTGTTATTATATGCTACCACCTCAAATACTAACTATAAACATCAATGTCATCTGTTGTTTGACATAATAATAACCATATAAATAAAGTGATAGCATTTTAAAAGCATAGTAAAACTGATAATATTTAACAACTTGGAACTTGAAATAAAAAGAAAATATAGAGATACAAAAAAATTCTAATGATTAAGATCTCGTGGCTAGAGGGTGAAGAACAGTTTGAATTAGTCTGCATGCATAATACCTTACTGGGGCTTTGCATTGATGTATTCATTTAGTCTTCTTTAATTCTTAAATAAAATGTCATCTTTTCACAACTTTAACTAGCTTACTGTAATAATCCAATAGAATATATATTAAAATTGCACACAGCTTTAAATTAGGTAACACAAGCTTAAGTGGGCATCTGCATTCTTCTTCACCAGACTTCCCTGACTCTGAGTCTTCCAAAACATTCCACTTAAAAAGTGTTTCACCTTCAAAAGTACATGCATGCAAACAAACTATTTGTTGGGTGTATCAAAAAACTTGTATGTTGTAACCCTCATAAAAGTCATGTCTGTCTTGTGGGAATTTTTTCTACAGAACAAGCAAACTTCTGGGAATTGAAGCCTCTCTCTGTTTGTAAAGATGTTGGAAGCTCCTCTGATTCAGCAAGAGCAGCAAAGTTTTTAATGCTGTTAAAAATGAATAGCAATTTTTTCTGTCAGTTCAGGGATTAGGATATGTCTTTCAGAGTAATTTATCCATCTTCATTTGTCTTGATAACATTTTCTAAGCCTTCATATTGAGCACAGGTATCTGATTCTTGTCTTGCTTTCAAATCATGCAAAAATCACTTACATCCTTATATTAAAGCCTTTTTAGATTTTTGGGTCTGTGTTACTAGCAAATGCAGCATTTTGACTCAGTCTTTTTCCTCATTGATTGAAAATCCAACTTCAGTGGGTTTGACTCCATCTCTGAAAATAAATATTTCTTTTTTTCATTCTTAAAACTATTCACACACACACACACACACAAGTATTTTCCTTAGCCCTGTGTTGAACAGATGCCTTAATTATAGATCTTGTTGGTGTTAGATCAGTTACTTGGCTTTCAGTTGCAAAGGTCTGAAATAATAACGGAAATGTATATATATATACTGTTAAGGCAAGTTCGTGATGCTTCAATGTTGTCAACTCTTTTAAATCCTAAGATACAAGATGGCCTTGAGTCTCTATCACCTCAATTGCTAGGTAAGCTTAGCCTTCTCCTTTAAATATCTGATATATGGAGCTTCTGGTTTCATGCCTTTTTTTCTTTCTATGGATGAGGTTCTGTCTCTTTTTGAGGATTCTCTATCATATCCCTTCTTTTCCTGGAAATGTTCTTTTATGTCCCCTTTAGTAGATTTTGGCAGATCATTAGAGTCTCTCTTCCTCCCTGACATATACAGGAGGTTCTGTTGAACAGTACCTTTCTACATTATCACTTGTATTGGGCATAGAGTATTTCCTGTTTGAGAAGAATGCAGCCTTCCACCGAGGAATAAATACTCCCACTAGGTCCTCCCCCCTATAGGATGACACTCTCCTTGAGTTTTTCCTTTCTGTCATTTTATTTTTCGAAAGGAGCTCATGCTCTTTCATTACTTTATCTACACTGGTCCCTCCATAATTTTCTAAGTGTAAGCTTCTAACTGTATTTTCTGTGGAGAGGTGAGTAGCACATCTGAAGTTAACATTTTCCTTACCTGAAAATGTATTTAGATGGTATTTACCTTTTTACAAAACCACTTTCCCTTCCTTCCCACATACAATTATCTCGTCAAGAATGAACTTTTGGTATACACAGAGCACTCCAAAGAGTACTGCACTCATAGGATGTATTACTCGTATTGATGAAGAGCAAAAGTCTAATACTGATTGCATTATAGAATGGTGCAGTACACGTTATTACATGTAGGGGTGGGAGCATAAGTTGTTATTTGTTCTGTGTAGAGATGAGTACGTATCTGAAATACATTTTCAGGAAGGAAAATGTTATCTTTGATCATTAAAATTTAGGCCTAACAATGAACACTTCAAACTAATAGACTGAGCAACAGATGAATGAACATTAAAGAAAAAAGGAAACACTCTTAACTCGAAATTTAAAACCAAAGCTGAACAAAAAGATAACATCACCACATATGGAAGTTTGTGTCAGCTGGAAATTAATCTCCCTGTGAATTAGGAAAATGAAAATGATCACTGATGTAAATAACTGATGACTGTGGGATACTGCTACTGCACTGGAATTTTGTGTGAGTTAAAAATATGGTATAGACATACAATCTTTCATATTTTTTGACAATGTGAAGATGTGCTTTCTCTTCTTGTCTCAGCAGCCAGGTAGTTATAGACAGTAGTGAAACTGGCTGGTTACAGGAGTAGTAATCCAGTGTTATAATAAAGATTTTTATTTTTTGTTTTATGCAGGTTTCTGCATCTTTCATTTGCTGTCTATGTTTGGTTGATAATAGTATTTTATACTTTCTTGTTGGCTCTGTTTTACATGAAAATACCACAGGAGCTGTTATGAGAACTGCTATAAAATATTTATATTTTAAATACAGCATATTAATGCTTCAGAATATTTTCCTTTCAATATCTTAAACCATTTTTTTTAATGCCTACAATTTTTTTTTTCTAGAATGTCAGAGTTTTTGACAGACTGTGCAGAAAGAATTACAATTCTTGGTATCATTCAGAGGAGAGTTATGAATAGGTAATTATTATTTTTTATTTTAAGAAGCAATTTGTACTATCTTTAACATTAGGTAAATTATATATTTTTTAAATTGAACTTGTGTCAAAGTCACTACTCGTCAGTTAACTGTTGATTGTTATCACATCCGTTTCTACAAAGAAGGAAGATATATTGATTTTCATGTTTAATGTTTGGCTTAATGTATATTCTTTTTATTTTGACAAATTGGAAATTATGATATATACAGAAGTTGTAATTGTTTGATGTTTCAGGTTTCATCGCTTGATGATATACCTAGGATGCCCTATACATGTCGTACAGGATACTAAAGTTCAAGATGTGTGTAAGATTATTAGTGAATTTGCCCTGGAGTACAGAACGACAAGAGAAAGAGTTTTACAGCAGATTGAGAAGAAAGTCAATCACAGAGAGAGAAACAAGACACGTGGCAAGATGATCACAGATGTCAGTATTCCTTTACTTTTGTATTTATTTGAACTAACTTTTCTTTTTTGAGAACTTCTTTGTAAGATATGATTTATGACTGATATCGTTGATTTATTATTGCTTTGCTGCAGAATCACTAGAATTTCATATTATTGGCACATTTGTCATGACCAGGCAAACATCAATAGACCTTGGACATTTGGTTATTCTTTAGACATTTCATTCTTATTTAGATACTGTAGATAGACCTCTTAATCGCTTGGTATGAAAATATTATTGACAACAGAAAAAGGACATTGACTAATATGAAAAGATTATTGAACAACAAGAAAATAGTATTTCATTTGTTTTATTGATGTTTGTGTTTATTGAGAGACATTGTTCATAATGATTATAAATTATGTTCCCAGGATATTGTCTTTTATTTTTGTTACCCAAGCATTTTAGTGAAATAAGTTGTTTTAAATAAACACTACTTAAACATCAAGTAGCTCATACTGTTTTCACTATTATATTGAATTATTTGTTTTTAATAGCAATTTAATTATTTCCCACAGTTAGATATAAAATGGTTACTTAATTTTTTTAAGTTTTGTGTGAAAAAATAATTGTTTGTGTAAAGTTGCATATTGGACTATTTGTGTTCTGTCTACTGCAGGGTGTGAACCCTGCATTTTTGGTTATAAATCTTGAAGCTTACTGCTAAGCCACCGGGGACTGTCCAAAGGAATTAACCTTCTCACGAGATTGAAATAGCTTTGTTGTGAAAATTATGGTTTATTAATCACTCTGTACAAAAAAATTAGATTCAGAAAACTCTCTTTATCATATCTGAAGATAGTTTTTGATAAAATTTCTTTGTCATTTAATTCTTTGTCTGTTTTTGTTCTTTACATTAACTACTGCTATTTTAAAGTTGAATTATTAGCTGTACTATAAATGTATATGAACATCTGCATATTCCTGTAAAAAAAAAAAAATTTATACAATTCATTGTATATTTGAAGATGGGAAAGTTTAAAACTAAAGAGCAACAGGCTGATCAAGAACTCCGTCAGTTGCTTGGCAATGGCACTAACAGCGAAGATCAGAAGTTCCAGAAATGGGGAACAATACCTAGTGTTAGGGGACGACCGAAAGGTAATCCTGGTAAGTCTACTATATTTCTATGTGATAAAGTAAAAATAAAAATCTGTGTTCTATAAAAACTCAAAAATTGCTTGTTGAGATTACTGTAATAATAAATACTTGAGTAAAGAAGCACATTATGCTAATATAACAAGTTGGCAATCAATCATTTATAAACATAATGAAATCATTTATTTTTTGGGGAACATATTGTACATTTTGAAAAAAATGTTGCTCTATCTTCTTGTTAGCTGGAAATTAATCTCCCTGTGAATTTGGATAGTGAAAATGATCACTGATGTAAATAACTGACAACTGTGGGATACTGCTACTGCACTAGGGCTTTTGTATGAGCTACAGTCTAATGTTGATTGTATTATAGACTGGTGCAGTACATGTGATTACATGTAGAGGTGGGAGGTTTTGTTTATGGACAACAATTAGACTATCCAATAATTATCAATTAATCCATAAACCAGTGCTTTTTTACATTCTTCTTTCAAACTGGATAGTGTAGCTCACTTTTTAGATTTATTTCGTTCAAATTCTTTGTTATATTTGTATACAATTTTAAATTTGGTGTTAAAATCTATTCATAAGTCTATATAAAAAATAGTACGTAAATTGTCATAACTCTATACTTTAACTGAGTGAATAAGCTCCAAATTACAAACTTAATAAGCTAGAAGTAGTTATCTTTGATCTTTAATTAGCTTTTCTAATAACTTTATATCTTAACATTATATGTTAAAAATATAACCAGCATTAGTTAATGAAAGTTTAAGAAATGATGTCAAAAATACTAAAAATTTAGTGGTTTAAATAGTGTCTGTAAGTTTTTCTTATGATGAACTTCTGTATAAAATGACAGTCTTACTAAGTAGTATAATAAATTAGAGGATAAACTATTTCTCTTATCAATATTTCTATAAGTCATATATATATATTGTATATTTGCAGGAATATTTTTTTTAAATAAATTGCTTTAGTTTAGTCTACTTTTAATAATTAAATTGATTTCCGATTTTAAGTAGTTATTAATGAGGAACCGTTAATATTTATGCTGAACAACAGTAAAATAACTGCTTTTCAAAGCTTTAGCAGGTTCAAATGATTATTCTAAAATTTCGTACTTTATAATTATTATTTATTATCCTTCAACTTACCAACTTGTTTTTGTACTGAACAGTGCTAAAAATATGATTTTTGATACCTTCTGTAGGCACAGAACAAATAACCCAACGTGTAGCTTTGTGCTTAACAGCAAACAAACAAACACTACTGTTAGAGTTCACATATTGCATAATTTTGTATTCTTGCCAGTTATAACATTCAGTGTAAAGAACTTAACTAGACAATTGTGCAAAATCAATCATTTTCTGGGTAAAATACAAAGGGGTTCCCAGCAGCAATTAGTGGGATTAATTGCACTATTGATATTATTTTTGCTACAAATTTACATACTTGACTCGCGTGTCATTAGAAACCATGAAAGCAATAAAGTCATAGACCATAAACAGTTTGATGCATAAATAGTATAGCTGAATGAGTTCAAAAAGTGATAGGGCCTTTAGGACCCATTAATAATTCTAGGGTTAAGAAACTTCAGTACAGCTAGGAAACATTATTGTACTTAATAGCCATTAACCCTCTAATAATAATAACAAACTTACTAAGAAGTAAAAATTAGAAGCAAGGCATTTTAGTAATTGTTTGTACCTTTGTCAGTACGTTCTGAATTTTTTTTTTCTAGGTGTTTAAGTTTTTTAGTTTGTTTTGAATTTTGCACAATGATGGCTATCTGCACTAGCCGTCCCTAATTTAGCAGTGAAAGACTAGAGGGAAGGCAGCTAGTCATCACCACTCACCATCAACTCTTGGGATATTCCTTTACCAACAAATAGTGGGAGTAACCATCACATTATAATGTCCCCACAACTGAAAGGAAAAGCATGTTTGGTGGGATGGGGTTTCGAATACCTAACTCTCAGATTGCAAGTCAAATGCTCAGACCACCTAGCCATGCCAGGCCTTTAAGTTTTCAATAAAAACAGTATTGTATCAGGAATTTTAAATAAGTATAAAATGCATGAATTTTAAAATAATTCATTTACATCTAATGTAAATTAATACAACAGTTAACAGATGAGATATTCTCTGTATGCTGTGCAAGGTGAAGCTAGAGATTTATGAATTATAAATATTTTACATCAGTACATTTTTATCTCTAATCTGTCTTGTCAGGAACAGGTGGAAGCTTAGGGCGACATAACACTCCCTCATGTGATGAAAATTTGACAGATACCAATGATGAGATTATTGAAAGTCTGGTCAAAACTGCTACCACCCAGCCTGCCCGTAATGAACCACGAGCTAGGAAGAAAGCAAGATATGGGGACAGGAAATCCTGTAAGTTTTTTCTGTCTTTTGAAAATGGGAAATTTCATGTGAGTCAGTATTGCCTTTAGTGATATGAATTACCTAATAATGTTGTCATTTAAAGTTTTGTTCTTCTGTCTTATGAAAGCTTCCATCTATCTGTTTTATTTGCCCAATAATGTTGTCATTTAAAGTTTTGTTCTTCCGTCTTATGAAAGCTTCCATCTATCTGTTTTATTTGCCTAATAATGTTGTCATTTATAGTTTTGTTCTTCCATCTTATGCAAGCTTTACTTCCATCTTTCTGTTTTCTTTACTAATAATGTTGTCATTTATAGTTTTATTCTTCCATCTTATGCAAGCTTTACTTCCATCTATCTGTTTTATGTACCTAATAATTTTGTCATTTATAGTTTTGTTCTTCCATCTTATGCAAGCTTTACTTCCACATATCTGTTTTATTTACCTAATAATGTTGTCATTTATAGTTTTGTTCTTCCATCATATGCAAGCTTTCCTTCCAACTATCTGTTTTATTTTTTAGTATATTTAACAGTATGACTGTAAATATTTTATCATGATATGCCTAAAAGAACTTGCTTACTTATGTTATCATGCCACATTGTAGATTGCATACATTTGGCTTGATTGTCATAGTGACACTGATACTACATGCCTGGTAACGGACTAAAACAAAATGCTGCCACAGTGGTGTTCAAACAAAAACAACTTATTAAAGATATAACAGAAATCCAAAATAAAACTTTCAAACAGCTATAAATTTCATCACTTACAAAGAACAGTTAGTAAATCTATGCTGGTGAGGACTAGGTACAAACGTTAATAAACAATACAACATAAATCTCAATGTTATTAATTTCAATAAATAAAGGAATTAGGAAAAAGAGCCAGAAGAAGAAAATACCTATTTCCCAAAACAACAAAATGTTCTAAAATTATACCACATTATAAGATCAATAACAATATTGAGCAGTATTTAGCAATAATTCTAACTGTATCTCATGAACTAACTCGTTTTCAAGATCAAGGAAGGCTTTTTATTTATTCGTTAGACCACGAGTTTATATCTCCTGTGACTAGCTGTTACCATAAATCTAAATAACCTTTCAAAACATTAATATCTGTATATCACCACTAGGTGGAGCCCGTGTCAGTTTCATAATATACATATACAATGATATACACACACAAAATCAATATTCTCTAGATAGAAGGGGCCCAGCATGGCCAGGTGGTTAGGGGGCTCGACTCGCAATCTGCGGGTTTAAATTCCCGTCACACCAAACATGCTCGCCCTTTCAGCCGTGGGGGCATTATAATGTGACGGTCAATTCCACTATTCATTGGTAAAAGAGTAGCCCAAGAGTTGGCGGTGGGTGGTGATTACTAGCTGCCTTCCCTCTAGTCTTACTCTGCTAAAATAGGGATGGCTAGCACAGATAGCCCTCGTGTAGCTTTGCACAAAGTTCATAACAAACCAAACAAACTAGATAGAAGGTGAGTTAGCACTTGAATACAACTACAAATTCATAGTCGAACTAAATGATAGAAGGAATGATAAATGAAACCATAACAAAATAAAAGTAGAATTAGCTGTCTCACAACCTATGCTTTCCCAATCCAAACTCATTCCATTGATATCGTCTAGGTTAAACATATGTATGATAACTGATTGATAAAAGAAACAGAAAATGACACTAACATAATATTGTATGATAGCAAGCTAGCATATTAGGATCTGTAAATAAAAGAAACAGGTTTCTACTCAGTAATTGGTTATTATCTTAGCCTGTGATTATCTCTTTTAGCACAATGTAATGGAAGAATTTGTAATTGAATGTTATTGAAAAGACCATATAGTTCAGTTTATAATAACAGTGGGCAACAAAAAATGTTTTTCTCTGCTACTAGAAAAAATGAAACTGTTTGATGCTGCTGATTCAAAAAATCATGGTGAAAATTACAGATCATCTCTAGTTTTTATATTATGATAGAGTTATTCAAAATATTCTTATATATATCATGAAAACACTTATTAATTGAAAATTGCAGTTAAAAATGTATAATATGCATGCTTTGATAAGTTTATTTCATGTTCACAGCATCAGAAACAGGGATAGATGGCTTAGTGTTCCTATTGTGCAAAAGTACAGCTTTCAGACTAACTTTAGATGAGTCAATAAAAAATCACAATTCTTGAGGATGATGTTCAATACCTAATTCTTCCATTAGTGCATCAACATTTGTACAGAAGCACAAAGTATCGTGCATGTTGTAGTGAGAAGCAAGACTTTGATGGCAACTTTGTTAAATTGAAACTCTTGTTCCTGGAGCTGATAAATTCCATTGCAGTAAATGAGTGCCAATTAGTTTCCCATGCTGCTTTGATAGAGACGAATCAAATCATCTAGCTCTTCTTGTGTGATCAGAAGAGGCAGTTTATGTTGAGGTACCACAGGAATAGAATTACTAGACGAAGAAACTGAAGATGATTCATTGTCTTCTTTTCAAGATAACTCTTCTGTTTCCCAATTCACTGGTTGATGTGGCACTGGAAAACCATCCCCATGCAGTACTGGTTTCAGTGCAGCTGCAAATATCTGGATATTTATTGTATTGTTTAGTTTTTGCATAAATATCAAGAAACATTAGTCATGCAAAAATAACAGTCAGTTAGATGATCTTTGGGCTCACACAATATCATGGGAACTGTAAATGGCATACTTTCTCCCTTCTCATTCAGCCACTGTGTCAAGCCAGATTTGCAAACTGTACAAGACACATGTGAAGCCCAATGTTTTTCTTGGCTCCTAGTTTTACACCCAAAATAGTGATAGTAAGCTACCTTTACCTTGTATGTGATGCTTTTCCTTCTTGAAACTGTAATATATTTTACACAAATACAGCAGAAACTGTCTTAGTGATTTTATGATTTTACTTGAACTGGAGGCAGCTAGTATTTCATATAATTTTCTAAAAAATATAAAGGAACTTATGTTTACATAACTAGAACTTAAAAGATTTTAAAAACAAAGTTTTGCAGAAATCAACTATTTCAAAGGTATGATGCCAGGAAGAAGATTGGATTTTGTTTTGACAGTGCTCGGAGTGAGGTGAAATGACCATTGAGTCGGTGAGAGGCATCTGAATGCTACCCTTTTATGTTCAGTTGAGGGACTTCTCAAATGTTCTACCAAACAGATCACGTGAGGGTTCTGATATTCCCGGGTGGTGTAGATGAGCATGGGAATGAAGCAAAAGGGGCGCAAATCGTTACAAGTATATCAATAACAAATAGCACATAGGAACAATATACTTGGAATTTTACACTGATACGACACAATGTTTGAAGTTATGAAAAATGTATGCCTTTTACCCATTAAATTGTCCAAGTAAACTTAATTTCACATATAAATCTGTTGTACTGAGTTGATTGCATGGTATTTCACAGAGTGCTGATAAAATATTGAGACATTACAATAACTCAAAATCTAGAGGTGATGGACAAATCCTGATTACCATTTTGAAATCAGCACCATCAAATTATACCAAATCGCTTGAGTTTTCTCCACTAGCAAATTTTTTGTTATCCAGCGTAATTAGTGAAAAATAATTGTATTTAGAACGGATGTAAATAACAGCCTTTCAGAAACTCTTTTCCAATATATGCTTTTTTTTTTTTATTTAATTATTGCCCCAACTTAAACCTAAAGCATACCTTGTATTACTGTAGAATACATCAAAATGGCAGAAGTTTTTTCTGCTACTATATATATCTACTTGTGTAACTTACAAAATAATCTACATGAAGGGGAATAGTGGATGATAATCAGCTCCATTTGTCTACTACAGAATGCTCCTTGAAGTATAGTGTTAAACTAATTTTTTTGTTCAGTTAAACAAAATACCATAATATCTGCTTAAGGATTACAATAAAAACATTGGTTTATTTTCATTGCAGTAAGAAGGACCTTAAAGAGTGGACTAGATTTGTCAGAGGAAGACAGAAGGATGTTGGTTGCTACATAAAAATGAAAAATTACATCTCTTTACAAGATGTAGCTGCTGCCAAAGTGGATAAGATTGTAAAAATCTTTATAAGCTGTACATTTATATGGATGCAGATCGACAAGAAGAGAACATTAAGTGATCTTCACAATGATGAATTCATTCTTTTCTATGTTTTTACACAATGTGATTCAAGTGAGATTTGTACCTGTTTTTGCTGCTATTTAAAAAGTCTTCAGCTGGTCCTGAAATTTGGAAATGAAACAGTCACTAATTTGAATACACAAAAATAATCTTTGAGAAGACTGTAGAAGTACAGACCTGAAATGCCGCACTTTTGCAATTTCCTATCAATTTTTTTCCCAAAAAAGTTTAAAGATTTATGAAACAGTAAGTACATTTTGAAAAACTTATCACAAATAAACAATATGAAATATGGCATGAAGCCATTCAAAAGCTATATGCTGTACAAGATCAATGAAATATATTATATAAATTATCAAGAGTATTTTTGAATTTTCTACTGCAAATGTCATCTTGGAACAAAAAGTTCCATACTTTAATGCTATATTTGGGATGCTTATCTTTGTGTTAAATGATGTGTTATTTGCTATTACTTTAGAGTTACAAAACTAATACAAAAATATTCTTCCCTTGTCAATCTGTGTATTTTATATCAGTTTCTTTTAACTCAGCAAAATAATCAAACTGTTATGTGTAGTGAAATTAGTAAAATGAACAATGAAATTCTAAATTTTCCCATTTTTTTTAAGTTGCATTAAATCAGTAGATTCTTGCTTTTTGCTGGTATTCAGTGTTAAATAAGGAGTGATGTTGAATCTCAAACATTACTGGTTTTATCTTTTTCAGAATCATAGAAAGGTTCTATGATCACACATACTTTGAGATTTAAAGCATCCATAAAATTAGTGTCAATTTCCACTCTCTTATTCAGAATATAAAGACGTTTCTTCAAAACTACTCATAGTTAATTTTGCCCCATTAGAAATTACTATTAATTTTTCATCTTGTCTCATACATCCCCATTATATTGTCCTTCCAATATTTCAGCTCAATTGACTGATACAATGTTTGCATTTTTAGTTTTGTATATCTTAGTGTGTGTTCTTCATGTATAGTGCTCTCGAAGCAGTGTCTCAGCATTAAGTTAGGGCATCAATTGATGATTCGGATTAAATTTACTTCACACTCTCAGTTTGTAATTATTTATATTACATTTTCAGTCCTTCCTAATGTGTTATACCACAATTTTCTTAATTTTTGAGTTTGAGTAAGAGGACATACTCAATATGTTAGAGCTTTTTTCTTTTATGCCATATATTTGTATTTTTCTCACTTGAGGAAAATTTATCTTAATAGGGCAGCATATCTGATATGTAAAATATTTATCTCTTAACAATGAAATGGACTAATGGCTTCTTGTATCCTTTTTTTATATGTCTTCTGCCCTTTCACGTTAGAAGACTTATTGTAGACACTTTACACAGAAAATACTTTGATATTGACGATGTTTCTAGAAATGAAACAGTAATGCCAACATGAAGAAGTGGGTACATATCAAACTCAAATGACAGTATATGGTGTGGTTGACAGTTCAGTTCATTAATGATTATATTATTACCTGTACAAATAAATAAGGAACATAGATAATCCATGTGGAAAAGAGCTTTTCAGTTGAAATTACAAATTAGAATTACCTTAGAAATAGCTAATAAATTGTTTTATTTGTTTTTCACTGTTGCTTACATTTTGTGTGTGGTAGCTCAATCCTTGAAAACTGAATGGGCAGCTTTATATGTCTTACTGTGATTACATGAGTGATGTGATTAAATTAGGTGAGAAATGCTTTCCTGTGTTGCTGTGTTTTTTATGTTGTAAATAATAAACTTTGTTTTTGTTATTTAGGTTGAATCTAAGTGGAAGTTGTTGACTTATGTGAAATATATTGTTTGTTTTTTGCTGAAATATTTGTCTGTGTTTTTCTTTTTCTAAAAGGAAATCTTCACTCTCAAACAGACATTGCGATTTACTACACACTGCTTAGTGTTTTGTGCTACTCTGTTATGCTTCAAAGATATGGTCAAATGGTTGTTCTCTGGCGATTTAGATTTTGTGGTTGTCTAAAAGCAAGTAAAGTCATGCCCAGATATAGATAAAAGAAACTATTTCAATTTTGTTCCTGTATGGTTGAATTCCCTCATAACATAAAAAAAAAGATGACAATTCCAATGTAATTTAACTAAATTACCCAAATCTAACATATTTTGTACCACCCCCTTTTAGTATTAGTTCCAAGTAAGAGTAAGCATGATCATATTTTTGCTTTCATACTGGTGGAATTATCCCCTTTTATTGACATGGAACTTACAATATTGGTAATAGAGCACACTTGTAAAATGACAGTGAATAACAATCCAACAATAATATGAATATATATATATATATATATATCCAGTTATGATTAATGTAATTTTATAGAAGATTTGAATTGGTGGTCAATAAAGAAAGTAACAGTTTTAACTGTGACATTGTAAACATTCCAACATATTCAATAAAACAAAATGGGTGACACTGATCTTTTAAATAAATGGACATTTCTAAGAGAATTCCTTGTAAACTTGAAAGTTTATGCAATTTATTGTAGTGAATAAAATCACGAGTCAACATTTGATGGACCTGTAGATACTTCTTCTTTGCTGACAATGTATCCCAGGAAACTCGCATGTTGATGGAATAATTAACACTTTTTGAGATTCGGTTTAAAGTTCTCTTTCCTCAACCAGTCCAAAACTTTCTCTTGTCCATTATGCACATTAACAAAGATCTTTCCATGTGTAATTATAATGTCCAAGTAGGTGAGTATGATGTTCCAGTATCGTTCAGACAAAGCACGCACCACCAATTCTTGAAATGTGATAGGAGAATTGCATAATCCAAATAATAACATGACAAATTGCCACAATCTATTTCCTCTTTACTTGCTTTATTGACTTGCACTTGCCAATATCCACTCTTAAGATCCAATCATAAAAACCATTTTGATCTAGATAGAGCATCCAAAGTAGTGTCAATCCTTAGCAGTGGGTGGGCATCCTTTTTTGTGACTTCATTCACCTTCTGTACAATAGATGATGCCCAAGGACAAGTACTTGGTTCTATCATTTCTTGTTCTTATGGCATCTATCTCTTTGAAAGCATCAGCTTATTTTGCAAGTGTGAGTTGTCTGGATACCTGATGTATTGGGGCTGCATCTCCAGTATATCAGTCTTGTGAGATATTTAATTTGTTCCTCCTAAGTCGTGCGATCAACTGGAGAAGGTGTCTTGATATTCCATGAGCAAGTTATGTAACCTCTGGTACTGATGAGCTTTAAGACATAAATAGCTTTGATCATACACCTTTCATAAGTGAGATGGTAAGCTGTTTTTTATGTATTTGACTTCCTATATCTTCCCTTAAAGGTGACTACTTCTGATTTTCTTTGATGTGGAAGAACTACCTGTGCAGTTCCACATCCAGATTAGACTCAAATTTTATGGTTTCTTGTGTTCAAAGCCTTAATGATGACATCTTTATTCTTCAGATCCATGAGAGTTCTACCAACCATTAATCCATAAGGACATTCTGGAGTGTTTGGTTCTATTATAGCTCAATCACTGAATTAAATTTTTTGATAATTTCTAGTATAAATATATCACTTCTTGGTGGTACAATGACTGCTTGTTTTGTTGTCACAGGATGTTCACCCTCTGGTGTATTAATTTTCATGTAGTGCATAAGAATTTCCTAGTCACAGACTGTGAAGCTACTTAAAGTTAGACTAACTTTGCAATCATGTCTCTGCATTAAGCCAGTTCTCAATATGCACACTTTCATGATGTCAATTACTTATACATCATGAGGTATACAGTAAGTATAACTTCTAAATTTCCTCTTGTTGGAGCTTTATGTGTACTTGCTATTCATATCACTTCTGAGGTCTGGCAAGGCCAGGTGGCTGGGGCACTCAACTCACAATCTGCGGGTTGCAGGTTCGAATCCCTGTTCCACCAAACATGCGTGTCATTTCAGCTGTGGGGGCATTATAATATGATGGTCAATTCCACTATTCGTTGATAAAAGAGTAGCCTAAGAGTTGGCAGTGGGTAGTGATGACTAGCTGCCTTCCCTCTAGTCTTACACTGCTAAATTAGAGATGGCTAACACAGATAGCCCTCATGTAGCTTTGCACGAAATTCAAAACAAACCATATCACTCCATTTTTCTTTAATCTTTGAAGGCAATTTCCCACCTTTCATTACCAAATTAGGTCAAGCTACTATAACTGTAGAACTAGTGTCAATCAACATCCTACAAGACTTCCTATCAATAAAAGTATGTACTCATTGATTGGTCTTAGTAAATAATGAGCTTTTATATCATTTGGGATAGATGAGTTATTTTCAATTTTACCCCATAAGCCCAGCTAATTCCTGTTTCATTAGCATTTTGTTGTTCCTTCAATTTGGCTGGGCATAGGGTATTGTATTCTTGATATATTAACAGTTGATTTTGCACAGTCTTGGCTGTAATGGCCATGTTTTTCACACCTGCAGCTCCTGGCAACATGTGCTTGTTAGATATACAGAACTGTTTCAGTTTAATTTTAACACAAGCATAACGATTTAAATAGTTTATATAATGCGGGTGTCATATTTAGTTATTTTTAGAAGCATAACCATTTACGAATCATATGCTGTGTAGTTCAATTGTTATGAATTAACGATTGTTTACAATAGTGAGATTGTGGCGTCATGTTGCTAGAACTTTCTGAGTTTCTCGTTGGCTTAATTGAGTATCATTGCATCAAAATATCTAGTATTGCATGGAATGTTCTTGACTTCTGTCATGATATAAATATGCATGAAAAAATCATTATTGAGTCCTAGTTTTAGACTGTGATCATAAGTTTAGAGATAAAGAGTGTATAGTGGCGATTTTTAAAGTGAAATTAACACAGACTGTATTGTAATAACAGAATATAGAAGAATATATCATCTTGTCAATTATGTTCTGAAGTAACTGAACCAGCCTGTGTGGACTTTGACGAAAAAGAGACAATTACTTAAAGTGCTAGATACAACTGTGGAAACCAACAGTGTAATGAACATTTGTATATATGTTTGATTGTTTTTAATATATTATTTTTAAAACACATGGAGTTTTTGTTGTTTGTTTATAGTTGAAATTTGTCACCAACAAGTCACATACACCTACTGTAAATAATCCAGCTTTACAAAACCTGAAAGTAATGAGCCAACTAGGATCTAATGGAAAATGGCAGTACAAGAAGACGTAAACAACAATGACAAAGTGGCCTATATACAGACTGTTGTAGTGGTGGCGAAAATATTGTATAAGTCACAACCACACTATCTAACCATATTGACTGACGTTGATTAGTGGATAGAGAAGGGTGAGCAACTTGGGCTCAAAGATGGCATTCTGTGAGAGTTTGTTAAACAACAAGAAGATCTAGAGAGAGAGAGAAGAGGCAGAAAAGAGAGAAAGAAAGAGAAAGACTGAAAGAAGAATATTAGCATGAAATACAAGCCCAAAATGAGAAAGAAAAGGAGAGATTGGAAATAGAGAGAATAAGAGCACAAAGTGAGATCCCCAAGCTCACCCAACAGAAAGAGGACACATGCATGGCAATGGGGTCAGGGCCAGCCAACTCAAGCTTCCCAAATTTGATGAACAGAAAGACGACATGGATGCTTTCATGGAGAAGAATGAAATATTTGCCCAAAGTCAGAACTAAGACAAAGACGACTGGGCAGTTTGTCTCAGCCCCTTCTCAAAGGAAAAGGCCTACAATTGTATGTAGGCATGACATCAGGAGATGCCATGGACTATGTTAAGTTAAAAGTGACATTGCTGAAGCACTATGAACTTACTGAGAAAGGCTTTTACTGGAAGTTCAGAGAAGTCAAGCCTGACACTGGAGAAACTGTATTTCAGTTTGTGGCACATCTACATGATACTTTGTAAGATGGACTGACATATGGCTAAGTGTGAAGATAATTTTGAAGGACCAGCAGATATAATAATATGTGGATCGTTCATGATCACTTGCTCCACTGATATGGGACTGTTCCTAAAGGAGAGAGCACCAAAATACATGGATGAGATGACCAAGGTCTCAGAATCATATATGGAAGACCATGGAGAGAGTATACTAAGCAACTCCAATAATAACTAGTCAAAGTCCAAACCAGGGATGGCTGATGAGTAACAGGATGCCATCATAAGTGAGAAGTCAACAGACAAAAGGAGAAGATATGCTATGCTTCTCATAAAATGGAGCACACTGTAAGTGAATGCAAGTCACTAACCAACAAGCAGCAGCATAAATCTCAACATAAAGCAGCTGGGGCTACCCACAAAGATGGTGCTGGTGAGAAAAATAGAAAAGAGTGAATCTCATTATGGGTACTGCTGCCAGAAGAAACAGAATGAAGACGACAGTGCATAATTTATGGTCAGCTGAAGTTAGTGAATGGGTCAACAGTGTCAGTGATGATCAAAGCACGTAACAAACATCAAGAGGTTCCAAAAAGTCACGACATACCAGTAGATGACTGGCTATGCCAGGGACAAGAAGTGAACATCCTATGAGATACTGTGTGTAACAGTGAGAACAAGTCTCATATCTGATGAACAGATGATGGGCTGTGTGTGTGTGATGATTGAAGGGGTGGTGAGAAAGTTTCCTATAGCAAGGATAAAGGTCGGTACTTCATACTACATGGGAGACCTTGATGCCATGTGTATGAAGGTGCCCATCTATGACTTGGGGATTGGCAATATACCAGGCAGTAGAAGTTTGGAGGAACCAGACAGAAATGAGACTGATGAGGTATCTGCTGTCATGTAGGCTAGTCATTGGAGCTCGACTTTATCACCAGTCACAACAGATTTATAT